TGGAAACGATTCGTTCGGCGTACATAGAATCTTCTAATTCCCATGGACGTACCCGTTGGTCCGCTCGTTTTAATGCGAGCGTTAACGTTATTATTAACGCGAGCCCGATCCTCAACCAATTATTATCCGGCGGAAATTAGACACGCGACTCTCATTACGATCGCCGCGTTTAATTATCGAAAATGTATTAATTAATTGTTGCAGCCGTGAACTCTTCCGACCGCGACATTCCGCGCCCGTCCGATCGCCGGCCGACTTTGGCGTTCTTTGCGCGCGAATTAACGGCGCTGCCTCGAGGTATCCTGTTTTGAGTTATATTAAACTACGAATGATTGCGACGCGCGCGATAATGCCTGTGATTGATTATAACGCGTTAATCTTCGGCAACGCTCATTCCCGATGGAAAGGAAATTCTTAACGAATTGCTGTTTAATGAAGGTTTGCTTCTCTTATCCTTTTTTAATGAGAAATCTTGTTACGGATTTCGGTGTATTGGTTTTGGTACGCTCATTGACGTGGAAGATTGAAATATAATACATTTAATCTTATCGTAATAAATCAAATATTAATCGATCGAATCAAAACCAATGTTCAATTTCTGTTGGCGCGAATTATGTTTTGTAAATTGGGTGGACTTCCCGACGCGTAATTTCTCATTAAAATTTGAACAGAATTCGATTCTGTGACCAATGATGTAACTGTCCTTGAATGAGTTACACAAGGCAATCGGTACTGTGTGTGCCTGAATTTATAACTTGTAACGACTGCGTATAATCGTGCTGTAAGTACATAAGCCACGCTGCAGCTCAGCGCATTATATCCATTCGATTTATAATGTTCGGTCACCGATTTAATTGATGTGGGAATTCCATAGGGCGCTCGAGTAAATGAATAAAAGTGCCATTAAAATTATTTTAATTATTGCATTATGATTATGTAAATTATATTCGCGGGATATTCAACAATCTCTACTGTAATACCACTGCTACCGTCACGCAAACTGAAATTTAAAACCCGCTCGCGGTGCCATAAATTGATTTAATGTATGCTAATTGAACCGTTAAAATTTCACGTATGGATACAGCTCTCTCGAAGAATCACGGTCAATCTTCAACAGGTACATAAAACGTCCAACCAAATGAATACCAAGGAAGTAATATTCAAACATTTTATAAAATCCCTTATCAAAAACCATCAACATAAAATCTTTCAATCCTTTCAACTCGTTATCCTACAATTTCCATACAAATTGCGCAGACATGATTTCTCGTTCATAACTCATTAGAAAAAAAGGAAAGTTATGCACTTATTCTGTCTACGTTTACTCAGAAGCATTACAATTAATAATACAAACATAATATTCCATCTTGGAAGAATTAAGTAATGCTTACATTCGTTCAATTGCATTTGAAATCTTCACGAGTCTGTCCTGAATCTAATCCTCGATTCACAATAATTTCCAAACTTCCCTATATCTACCTATCGAAACTACTTCCTCCATAACACATCTCCAATCTGAAACTACCAAATGAATCACTCGCGTCCCCCCATCAAACAACAATAACACAATCAAAGAATCGCCATTCCAGCGCAGAAGAAACCCGAAAGATAAGATATTCCCT